GAAGGGGAAGATATGGAGGCAGTGACAGATTTTACTTTCTTGGGTTCCATGATCACTGCAGGTGGAGACAGCAGCCCTGAAATTAAAGGACACCTGTTTCTTGGGAGGAAAGTGATGACAAACCTTGACAGCATCTTACAAAGCAGAGACATCACCTTGCCAACAAAAGTTTGAATAGTCAAAGCTATGTTTTTTCCTGTCATGATGCATGGAAGTGAGAGCTAGACCATAAAGAAAGCAGACCGCTGAAGAATTGATGCCTTTGAATTGTGATGCTGGAGGAGGGTCTTGAGAGTCCCCTGGACTGCAAGGAGAACAAACCTATCAATTCTAAAGGAAATCAACCCTGAGTGCTCACTGGAAGGACAGATCCTGAAGCTGAGGCTCCAGTACTTTGGCCATCTGATGAGAAGAGAAGACTCCTTGGAAAAGACCTTGATGTTAGGAAAGTGTGATGGCAAGAGTAGAAGGGGACGACAGAGGATGAAATGGTTGGACAGTGTCTGCGAAGCAACCAACATGAATTTGACACAACTCCGGGAGGCAGTGGAAGACAGGAGGGCCTGGCGTGCTCTGGTCCATGGGGTCATGAAGAGTCAGACACGACTAAACGACGACGAGTTACAGCTTACTATTGGATCTCAGCTGTTGTTTTCTTTTGGCCATGACTCAGGTTTAATTTAAAGCTAGCATACATACATGTTAACAACAATATCAAGCAAAATTACTGGCCAAGAATTCAATAGTACAGTTTTACTATCATTATTCCTTTTTTTATGTACAGGAATAATTACAAATTGATCCTAGCCAACTGCTTGTTAAGTGAACAATGCTAAACCAGGCATAATGGTGGCACACATCAATGCAAATGTTTCTTGAAATCTACCTCACAAAATGTACCTTCTCATGCCTTACTTTTGAGTTCAAACAGAATGAAATAGTATTTCTTACTTCAGCTTCAGTAACTAAAAGCTGGCAGGGTTATTATTGGAGTGGAATGTATGGAGTGGAATTATATGTTTTAAAGAAGTCATGTCAACTTTTAACATACTTCAGTCTCAGGACAGGGACTACACAGCCTCTTACTTTCCCTGTTTTAAGACATTAAGATAATTAAGCCAAGCATCAAGAGACAGAAAGAGAAAGAGAACAACAGGATGAGAGTAGGCTGGCTTAGTCAGCTTCCTATGCCCTTTCAGACAAGACTCTATATGAGACTTAAAGAAGAGGAACTTTTGGCACCTGAAAGACTAAAAAAGTTTTCACTTGCTACTGGTCAATTCACCAAATTTTAACAAACATTACTGTTCTAAAAGACTTGCAATCCTATACATGTTTTATCAGAAAAAAATTACTCTTTCAGTGTGTTTTATCCCACTGAGAAACAGCAGAGCATCACACGCTGGCAACTACTCCTTTTCCTTCTCTTTTGCAACTTTCAACTAGCCCTTTACATCACAGATGGGCAAATCCTCTCCTCTGTTCAGAGGCTGAAATGAACATCTGCATGGCTGAACTGTAGTCTAAGTCTGCAAAACTGCCAGATACTTTCTCAAAATCTTTTATCTTCTGCAACAATAGATAATACTATATTTCATCATCTACTATTACTACTACTTTAGCACTGTATAATTATTTTGTTATTATTAATTTATCTTACATTAAACCCAAATTAAGTTTGTTAAGCTTAGTTCTGATTGAAATCAATGAGAGATTAATTTATGCCATTTTTAAATGGTCAGAAGCCTACTGATGAGTAATAATTATTTAAATTACTCTTCAAGGATGTTTTTTGTCATACATACTGGGCCTTATCTAGCAAGCCAAATCATTTTAATTAAGTTGTGCATTACACTTCTGACAAAATTCTGAAGCTGTATGGTCACACATGGAATCCTATTGGACTGTGCAAAATCACTGGTGAAAGTTGCTGTAACTGACACAGTGCCAGGGTTGTGTAAGATGTGCACCAAGTATGAGAGTTGGCTACAGCCAGGGTGGATAAAAATGAATGACTTTAAAAATCACTTTGATTTAAACCACAATTTAAACAAACAATTACAATTTTTTAGAATTTAAAAGATCCAAAAAATCTGATTTTTATTTAAATTATGATCCACACTACAACAGCAAATTCGATTATTGTCCTTGCATGTTTGAAAAGATCCAACAGGCTAAAGACCAATATGTTCTATGGAACCTACTTCAGAGCAAACATGCATAGTCTCACACTATAATTCTGTTATCATATCAGCTTTTGTATGCACCCTCTCAAAACACCACAATCTGTAGAGGAATAAGAAAATGATTAGGCAATGTTTACTTCAGAAAACTTATGATCGACTGGGTTTCTGAAAGTATTTTATATGGGTGCTCAGCTTTTTGAAAACGCCCAAAACATGAGAGACTCTATTTGTGTCTACATGTTCATTACCAAGAACGGCTGATGGATCTGTTAATAGCTTTTCAGTATTCCATCTCAATCCATTCTGTTTTCCCACTCTTGAAAAGTACTCAAAGAAACCCTTCTTCTACAGAACGATTACAAGATAGAGAAACCTGGCTGTTCTCCCTTTGCAATCCAATCCAACTGAAAAGAAAACTTTAAAAGCCAGACATTCACTTTCAAAAAAAAAGATTTACTTCTCATGTTGCAAAAATCAGGGATTAAAAACGCGTCCTGGATTATGACACCACTGAAACTTGCCAGGGAGTGAGAGGATCCGCCGCCTCCTGTAGCACGGCAAGTTTTCAACCCGATCTTGTATTTAGAAGGAGCCGAATAACCCTTCCATTCCTAAGGCGTACCTTTCGCTGGGCGCTCGTGTCATACTTGTCATTTCGGAAGACCTGAGTATTCTGGTGCCGCTGAGCTCGCGTCCGGGACACGTTCCCTCTCTGAGAACTCATCTCGCCTGGCCCCCGCGATTCACCTGGAAGTAACCTTTCTGTACTTCCGCTCCTGGGCGCCTGCCTGCCCGCCCGAGAGAGCTGTAGTAGGGCGAGGGGCAAAACAGCCGCCTCGGATTGGTTCCTCCCTCGGCACAAAAGCGAGGATTGGATTCGCCGGGGACGGTCCCGCCTTCCTTCCGAGATCACGGATAAGAACACTTAAGTCGAAGATTGCGATCTGATTGGTCGGTTCTCCAGGAGCTGCCGGTCAGCGAGAGTTTGGCCCCGCCCTTTCGCCTCTCTGGACAGGCTCGTACAGAGCAGCCTTTCTCTGTTTCGTGCCCCGTTCAGTCACTTGGGAGAGAGAGAGAGAGAGAGAGGTGGCGGTGGGAGGGAGAAACGGTGGCGCTCAGGCCGTAGTCCTCGGCGGCCGTGTTCTGTCTGTTCGGTTCACGTGCCCGGCGCTGGTGTCTCCCGCCCTCGTCCTGAGGGGGAAGCGAGTGACTGGGAGCCGGCGCTTTAAGGCCCGGGGCTGGAGCGCGAGCCTCGGCGGTTACTCAGCATAACCGTCTCCTTCCCTTTCGAACGGCGCGGGCCGTTTGGAGAGAAGGTGGCCGGGCGCGTGAGTGGGTGAAGAGCGGCTCTGTGCCAGAGCCCGCGAACGAGCGCCCAAGCGCGCCGCCGCCGCCGCCCAGCTGAGGCACTTGGACGCGGCCGCGCGCTCTTTGCCGGGCGCGAGCTGAGAGGTGAGTGGTATGCCTTCGGCGCTGCCGCCGCTGCCGCCTTTAAAAAAAAAAGAAAAACCAGAATCCTCTCCCTGCCCCGTTTCTCCCCTTCCTCCGCGGGTGAGCCATTGCGAGAGAAGGGTTGTGTGGAAGTGGGGAGGAAAGTAGCGGCGGCGGCCTCGGGCCTGGCTAGAACGGGTAGTGTGTGTATGAGGCGGAACTAAAACAGCCGGGAGGGAGTTGGGAGAGCGCCTGGGAACCGCCACCTTCTCACCTGGCGTTGCCCTCTCAAAGCGCTTCCGCCGCGGTTGAAGGCGGGGGAGGGGGTGCGGGCTGCCTGCTTGCTGGTGGCTCGCGAAGGTTTTGGGAGGGATGTATGTGTGTGCGCGCGCGCGCAGTGTCGTCTCTTCTCCTTCCCCCCCGCCCCTTTCCCACACCCTCCATGAGACCACCGACTTCTTCCCTCTGCAGTAGAGAAGGCGCGGGTGATACACCTCCTCTAGCTGGACCTTCTGCGATCCTGGTCTGTATAACGAGGCCGAGTCGGGAACCTTGCCCCCGTGTTTGCCCTCTGATTTCGCCCTGTTAGGACACAGAGAAGGCAGGATGCAGGGAAGGGGTACGTGATGGGCGGGGGGGGGGCTGCTACTGCTGGAGAAGGATATAGATGACTCTGGTTGGAGGAAGGATCTACAGTGTGAGAGATATCTCATTTGTATGCGAGGCAGCTCTTTTGGGGGAAAGCAGTATGAAAAGCAAACTGTTCTAAAGGGATAGAAAGGAGGCCAGTAGTGGAGGCTTTATTTCTGAACAAAGCTTTTCTTTCCCCTTACTTCTCCCCACCCCAGTCTTCCTGCCACCGTACTCCTTTCCAGGAGTGTTGTATTTCATTTCTTAAAATCTAAATAAAGATTTGATTTTGCAAATTTTTGGGAGAGAGTACATTTGTAAGTAAATTGTTGTTTGGTTGGGGTTGGTTTTTTTTTGGGTTTGTTTTGTTTCTTTGCAAAAATGAGCAAGAAAACATGTTGGTTATCAATTGTTTTGAGGTTCATTCCTAAGCCTCAGCCTTGTGATGGCGCAAAGGGGTACCAATCAGAGATGGTAAAATACACACAATGTGACATTTCAGTTGTCATGAATGGGTAGATTGTGTTCTGTTTTAACAAAAAATGCTATAGTGTGTTGCTTTGGCATATGTAAATGCAACATCCTGACTCAGCTGCACTCTGAGAGACATGGCTCTTCTGTTCTTTGATTACTGTTGAGTTTGTTCTTCCCCTTAAAATTAACTCTTGGTCACATGTTCTATGGGGGCAGGTGACTTGTAGGGTTTCTGTCAAGATAAGTAAGGGGGTGTTAAATGTGGCTTCTATTATGCGCTATTCATTTTATACAGCAAACCTTTACTTGCCAGTTCACACTAAACTTCAGATATGGTTACCAGATTTTGGTGGACAGGGGTGGGAGATGGGGGGGAAATCCTTTTCTTTATTTCTTTTTTTCTTTTCTTTTTTTGGATAAACATTTCTCATTGTTTCACATTATTTCAATGTGTCCTGTGGTGGCCAAATAGGTACCACAATTTATATATATTTATATCTGCAGAAGCTGTGCTTGCTTAACAGAAATAGTATTCTCGTTATATTTAAATCCCAACTTGGAATGACCTGTTGTTGGCACCCTTGTGACTCTGACATTCCATGCTGATGATTACTTCATTGGCATTCTAAAGAAACTTGACTACAAGGAAATAGCACAGAGTATTTAATTAAGTCATATGGATATTGTTCATTACAGTAGCTTTCCAGGAGTCTCCATATTGTGCATTTTAGGGAAGAATATCTGTGGAATACCGATGGACAATGCAGTGAATGCTTTTTACATGTGAATTCTTTCCCAGACAGTATTTTGTAGAGGAAATATATTGGAATTGGCTCAGCTAAAACTTCATAAACATCACCGTAATGAAATATTGTTCAACAAACATGAGATGAAGCTTGGTCAGCACTTGCAGTGCTCAATTTCACTTTATATTAGTAGGTGAAAAAAGCCAGTGGATAATCCTTTTCAAATGGTGGAGAAGCTCTCTATTGGAAAGGATGTTCCTCATTCAGTTCTCACATAGAAAGCAGTTGGAGGAACCCGGCATATTTAACATCCACTCACTAATTATTCACTAAACGTCTTCATTTGCCAGTCACCTTGATCACCACATTAGTGTACTTCAGGGAGAAAAAATCATAAAAACACCTTAACCATAAAAAATGCATTATAGAAATGAGTAAACAATTAAAATACATTCTACAGTTTTCTAAATGACAACTAAAACATTTGAGTTGGCAGTAATATTACAGTATTTTGGCTGTAACTACAGACTAGGTGGGCTTAGTAGGTGGCATACTGTAATTTGAAATGTCTGTTGAAATAACCAAGTCTGAAGTTGTTTCTTGAAAGTACCCAAAGAAGGACCCAGGCAAATAGCAGATGGTAACTGATTCTACAGCTGAGGAGCAACTGCAAAGAAGGCCCAATTTCTTGTATTTTTCTTCGCAGGCCTATCTCATAGTCAGCATCCTCAGCTGTCCTGCCTGGAAAGTGTGAGTAGGACAGGCACTCCCAGTTGGGAATAGGCATTCTGCCAGGTACTGAGGTCCCAAAGTATTTAGGGCTTTATAGGTTAACACCATTGTCTTGAAGCTGGGGTGGAAATGAACAGGTAACTATTGTAAGACCGCCAGAATCAAGGAGATATGTTGGTATCTATTGGCTGCACTTAGCAGCCTGTCTGCCATGTTCTGGACCTGCCGACATTCTTGTAGCAGCCTTATAAGTAACCCCATGTAGAGAGCTTTACAGCACTCTATTGTTGACACTACCAGTGCATGAAACAATTTGGTGAAGGACCTGGTGTCACGGTATGAGAGGAGCTGGGCAATCCACCTAAGATGGAAATAGGTAGAACGGACCACAGATGCTATTTGGGTGTTCATTGACAGCGCTGAGTCCAGTGAAATGCCCAAGCCGCACAACTCATCCTTCGCAGAGAGAGTAGTGCCACAAAAGGCGAGAGAGTCACCCAATTCACAACCAACAGGAGCACCCATCTGGAGGACCTCCATCTTTTTCTTTCTTTCTTTTTTTTTTCTTTTTTTGGTGGGCCTAATGAGCATTTCCTTGAGTGGCGGGGAAGCCAGGCTCTCGGGAAAATACACACTGATCACTGAGGTGGCTAATTCTGTTGTTATTATCATGGCAACTTTTAAAAGTTAGACTGAGCAAAGATCTAGAGAGATTGTGGTGGTCTTACAGCTTTTCAGCACCCTGTCAACTGTGGATGAGATCACAGTCTGAAACTGATATAGTTTAACTGAACAAGCCAGTGCAGTGGACAACTCACCTTGATCTACTGATGAAATATGTCGTTCAGGAGCCCAGTGGATGGCCTCTACCTTGTTTTTTAAAAAAACATATGCTGTTTAGACAAAATAAGCTGTATTTCTATGCACACTAGGGAGAAAACCCCAAAGAAACAAAGCCTGGAGCTTTGTGACAATTTTAAGATGAATTTCATGTGATCTTTCATGAGCTGCAAAACCTATCCTTAGACATACTCCATGTATCTGAGAAAATTGATTGTAATCCACAGAAAAACCCATATTGAAGTAAACGTTAGTTTTAAAGGTACCACAATACATCATGCTTTGGTTTTTTTTATAAATAACATAATACTAGTTCAAAACGTGGTTCTGCAATGAAATTTTATGCTGATGATTTGGGAGTGTTTATATTTTAAGCTAACAGGTATCTGAGCCAACCTCCTCCAATTTAGTGCTGTCCAGATGTTTAGAACTACTACTTTTGAGCCCCAGCCAGCATGGGATTAGGGATTATGGGAGTTGTAGGCCAAAACTTGTGGAAAGCACCAGGTTGCAGAGGGCTGCTCTAAGCTTACTTTGCATAATAACTTTGTTACCTTTGGCATAATTACATGATGGAAATAAGCAATAAACAGACAAAGCTTGCTTTCTTATGCTTTTTATGTATGTTGTTGATAGTGTAAATAGTTCTGGCTGGTTATGAATGCTACTTTCCATTTGTGGGTTATATGGAAGTTTAAGATAGATAGTTGTGGGTAGCCCTTTTCCAAAGACAACAGTATTATGTATGAAACTTTGTTCGTCTGTGCTCAATCAGCCAAAATTAAGTTCAGCTTCTCAGTTACTATGACAACTGTAATATTTCTGAAGGAATAGTAAGATTGTGGTGCAGGAATTGCTTAAATGAATATGTGCAGTGCAGTAACTTGAGTTGTCTATCTTTGTTTTGGGAAGCTACTTTAAACAATAGCTTCTTTCAGGTTAGAAAATTGCATTAGAGCATATCTACAGATATACAATAAATACAAGTTTAATAATGTTCATGTATTGAAATGTTGTGAATTATCTTTCTATAAAATTTAAACAGTTATGATCTGACACTATGAAATTTCCATTTATGTTTCTGCATAAATTACATTATACCCATACCCAAGATTTTTTTAAAAAAATAAGTTCAAATAAGTCTTTTTAAACATAGGCCCAGATATAGACTTGAGATATAAGCCATCTAAAGTGCTTCCTGTGATTTGACAAGTACTGTATTAGGGACCTATAAAAAGAAGCAAGAGTCAGATGTAGAATACTGTACATTTAGGACTACCCTTGGTTTAGATGCTGAAAAACTGATCAGTTGCTTCTCATTTCCTTATCAAAGTAGCCTTTCAGATAAGTCAGTTGCTTACCAGTGTTCTAGGAGCAAGGTCTTACATGGGTGTATCTTATTCGTAGGTAAGTGAGCACATTCAGAATTAGCAGAATTCCCATGTTATGTAGAGTGCAGGAGATCAGTATGTGTTAGACATTTCCTAGATTTTCTTAGAACTATGAGATCATATATTACTCATTATGCCTCAACAAATGAAATAGAATGAGCTAAAGTTAGAGTTCAGCTGAGGTTTTAATCTGTTCTGGCATAGCAATAGTTGTTTGCTAAAGACATAATGCCTACGATTAATTCACTCAAGTTAAAAAAAAGGAAACATAATTATTTCCACAAACATACATGTATCTAAATTAGCCACCCCAACTCTAGGTCAGGGGTCTCCAAAAATTTGACCCTGAGGGCTACACTGGATACTTTAAACATCTTAGATGGCGGAAGGAACAGGAATATGTGCACTCGCACCCCTGTGCCTGCCTGCCCATCCACATGCCCCCACATGCATGCATACCTCCCCCCCCCATGCACCTGCACGGGTTTAAGGGAATGGGCTGGATAAAACAGCAAGGCAGGATGGATGTGGCCCATGGGCCATAGTTTGGATACACCAGCTCTAGATTGGTGTTTCCAAACCTGGGGGTTGTGGCCCTGTCCAAGGGGATCACAAAGTGTTTTCTCAGCAGTTACGGGTCACCTTATATGTGCTATAGCCCTTGTTAAATAATTTTCTTGGCCTTTCAGAGCAGGATATTAAAATTAGCA